ACATTCAAATCTAATAAAAACAGATTGTTCCTTAATCTGAATTTAGATATTTGAGTATTGCCTTCTTCTTTGCCTGTAGTCTTGTTTCATGATAGTCTATTTTGCTAGTAAACATTTTTGTCAAAGAATGAACACCACAGAAAAATTGAAACTAAGGAGTATGTTCACTTTTACATAAAGTCTTCCATTCGAGTGACAAAATATCTCTTTGAAATTTCACTTTTATTTCTACAGATACTTCACAACCAATAGTAAGATATTTCTGTCACTTTAGGAACTTTATCAGACTGTTAAAAAAAACAACAAAACACTCCAGCCTTGTATTATAAAAGCAGGTAATGTCTTGTCTCAGTTTCTGAATTTTGACCCCACAGCAGACAAATTAAAAACACATTGTCTACTGGGCCTCCCCAGTGGCGCAGCGGTTGAGCGCTGGGTTGTGAAGCTGCCCGCGGCCTCTGCAGCACCGGTTCGATCCCCGGCTGCTCCCCGGCCGCCGGAGGAGGGTCCCGCATGGCGCGCAGACCTCTCCTGCCGCCCGCTGCTCCCCTCAGCAGTGTACTTTGGTCCTTCTGCCTGCTCTGCTCCCTGCTCTGGCTCTGGTGAATTCTCTCACCCTCCCGCGCTTCTGACTGTACCCAGTGCATGTATACACAAACAAACAAATAAATAAATAAAACATGCCTCTATTAAAAAAAAAAATTAAAAAAAAAAAAAAAACACATAGTCTACTGATGAATATTCACGAGCCATTGGGAACTGACTCATGTATAGGCAACCTCCAATTCCATCTCAATGTGTACATTCCAGAAACAAAACAGATGAGCATTTTTGTTAGAAAATACTATAGGAGGTAGCGTCCCTCCTAATCAATGACTTGTTATTAATAAAACAAAAATTATAAAAGAACAAAGTCATAAATGTCTAACAACTTTAAAGAGTAAAATTATATTCTATATACTACAAGATGGCATGAATACATCATAAATCCTACACACATATTAAGCAAAATGCTATGACACAGCACAAGAATAAGTCCGTTGTATAAAAAAGGCAAAGACAAGAAAAAGTAAAGCAACTCAGATCAATTTGTTCTTTCCTGATATTCCCTGTGAGCAGGGTGGTCGTTTTCTCCCACTTTATGATTCCATGGGAGGATTTCCCTAGAAAACGCCCTCAGTCCCAGAGCCCCTTACTTGCTCCCCGCCTTGGGAGGAGAAGGGCAGTCTGAGCAGTGAGGTTGGGAGAAAGAAATGGCCATGGACATAGGGGTCAGCCTGCTAGGTTCTCCCAGTTCCCTTAGGCGCACACCATCAGCCCAGGGCTGGAGGAGGTGGGCCAGGTCAGGAAGAGCGACCAGCCTTTGCTAGAGCCATGTGTACCTGCCTGTCTGCCACAGGGCTGGTACACACACTGGGTTAAAAGCCAATAGTCACTTTCTTCAGCCTCCTGGTTCTCTTGGGACATTTGCATCAGATGCTCTCTCTTAGAATTCTCTCTCGCAGAACCTCATCACCAAGCTATGAGAAACCCAAACCACACAAGGCCAAATGGAAGTGGCTCTACTCAACATTCCCAGACAAGTCCAGCCCTTGAATCAACCCACCCAGGAGCCTGTTGTGGGAGTAACAAGCCTCCAGAGGTTTCCAACCTCATCATGCAAGTCACCTACTGCCATGAGTCTTCCCAGCTGAAGCCCCATAGGATGTGCAGAAGCTCCTATTGCTTCTTGTGAATTCATGACCCACAGAACCCAAGAGCACCTAAAAGGGCCATTGCTTCACACTACTAAGTAGGGGGTGGCTCACTGGGCAATAGTAATAACTGAACCACCCACCACTTCCAACATTTGCTTTCCTTCCTAATCCACAGGATCATATTTTTTTCAAGCTGAAATAGAGAAGCCACTAACAGATGCATGGACTACCAATAACTTTGTTTGCCTTTCTGGGATTTGGAAAAAGTATCTAAAAATGATTAGCATAGAATATTCAGTTACAATTATCCAAGAAAGCAGAAACTTTATTTCCCAATACATTTCTCTATGTAAAATTGTACTTTGTACTTTATAGTACATTGTGTACTTGTGTGATTATTAATTCATTCAACAAATATATATGACATCTCAGACACTATTTTAGTTGAAACAAACTAAGTCTCTGTCCTTACAGGGAAGGACTAGAGATAATATACAAGTATATAACAACAACAGCAGCAAAGCAAACATCTGAGTGCTTACTATATGCCAGGCATTGTTACAGTGATTTAGAAGTTCACAAGTAATTTACACTTCATGACAACCCTATGAGAGCAGTACAACTATCTCAAATTCAAAGATGAGAATTGATGGTACAGAGAATTTAGAAATTTGCTGCCTTTTTGATTAGATGTTGATAAGCCAGTAAGAGTTGTATGAGTAGGCCATAAAAATGTCCTAAATAATGAGTCAGGAAAAAGGGGGGGTGCTATCTATATTTAACCAGTTCCATCCTCATCTCCAGCATTTTCTGAGCACTTACTGTGTGTCAGGCATCATACTAGGCTCTCAATACATGCGAGAACAGGACAGTCTTATCTCCCATTCTTACAGTTTACACAGGTATATGCACATTTGAAATCATAAGGTTTTTTCCACAGCATATCTTAGTGCTCTTCTTTTCTTAGGAGACAAAAAATCTCTTGAGATATGTACTGCATTTTCTTCAAAGTCTAAATTGCTATCTAGTGCCACAGCTACAAGAAAATGGCCTGTGATTACTGACAGAAGAAACAGGATTCCAAAAGCCTTTAGTTTATATAACACTGGATCCAAAATCCTCAAATGTAAATGTGTCAATTCTATGAGACGAACAAGCTTTTAACAAAGTAGAAGTTGTCTCACATTAGCTAACTATCTGCATATGCTACCATATTTTATCTTCCCTATGGGAGTAAATGTTTGCCATTTTCTACTTTGGCAACACTTGTTTTCTAACGATATAAAACCAAGGAATAAGTAATTTTCCAATGAGTTCAAGACTTAAGTTCTATAGCAAACCTCTTTTAGAAAGAGAAAGTAATCACTGGGCTTTCTCTCCCATTTCCTGGGTACACAGCGCAGCTCAAGTGACTTGTGTCTTTTTCAGTAATTCCAGCCAACAATGATTTATGCTTTTACTAGACAGGCTGGAAAAGGAGGCAAAATATACTTCCCCCAAAAGGCAAATCTTGTCTTCTTTTCTAGGATCCAAGAAGTTGACTTTTAGCAGCAGTTGACTTTTTAGAAACAAGAGTAGGTTTTCCCACTGCTCAACACCCCTTTGCCAGCAAAGAGCAACTCCCAGTAACCACCTATGAGTCAGTCCTCCACGCAGGGTGAAATTTCCTGCTCTCACCACTAATGTGCCCTTTCCGCTCCAAAGCAGGGTGTTTCCACTACCACAAATTTCAATATAATTTTATTGTGGGAACAAAGAGTAACAAACACCATATGAAATCCATTCATGAAGGTATATTAATCTAAATTGGAAAAGAACTGAGTGTTTAATATTTATTCTCCATGGATACTGCAGGAATCAGAGGGTAAGAAGGTATTTCTTTGGAACTTAAACTTTGAATGTAAGTTATATTCTGATGTTTACAACAATAGTTATTTCATTTTGTTTCCCTAGAATCTTCAAAATTAATATTGATTCAATCATTTCAGAATGTTTAGATGCAAGTTCTATAATGAAAATGGCAAACTTACTCTCATGTAAAAATGAAGGTATTATTAAATCAATAACTAGAGTTTGTTTTGTAAAAAGTAAGTGCTACAGGTTTACAAATATCTTTCAGCATAAAAAGAAATCATTACTTAAAATCGGCCTTAAAATGGCAGCATTCCTCTTCCTATACAATGCTCCTTGGTGACCATATGCTTTGAAGGGAGCTTGCCTCACAAGCTAGGCATAATTATAATCATTTGCTTTTGTTTACATCATGTATGGTTTCCATGAGTATTTTTGCTCATGGAAACCATTTAATCTAAGCAAATGGCTTTACTTAGGTTAAATAAAACCATTTAACCTAAGTAGTACTATCTTAGCCAACTTCATGTCATACTAAAACTTTCTTTTCAAGATGTTTCTCTAATGATTACACACTTTCCAAAATTTAGATCACCCAATGCATGGCACACAAAGTGCACAGTCAGGTAAACTAAAAGAGAAAATGAAATGATTTAAAAACTACAAAGTGGTGAAAACAGGAAAGATCCATGGAATTCACCCACTGTTATGAATGAAGATGATGAAACACTAGTCCTAGAAGGTTACTTACAAATTGGGATTCTTTTTTTTTAACTGATTGTGTAATTGGCAGCTGATTACTTAAAATGTTAATTTTCTAGTGTCATTCATCTTATTCTAGAATTTATCAGGCAGTCTCAGGGACCATGTGGGGGTCCAGGAATTCTGGCTACCCATCTCCTCTTATTTCAGATCAGGTCTTGTTTTATCTGGTTCATATTTGGGTGGTCACACACAATTTCATATGAAGAAGGCATAGCACTACTAGAACAAACCTAAGACACATTGCTCTGGACACCAGAGGAGGCCCACACTTCAATGATCTAAATACACTGGAAGTCACAAAAAGTTCTCACAACAAATTTCACTGGATAAATGTTACCCCAAAAATTGTTAGATTAAAATCAACTGTTTATATTTTGTTTTTAATCAAAGAATAATTTTTTATGAAAATAATCATTAGATCTTTTTTATTACTAGATTGGCATAAAGGCCTAGTAGAATATAAAATATGGCTGGATTAACACTTATTTCTTTAGCAGACTTCTAAAAAGTTTTTCAAAGGTAAATAATTAAGTGATCCTTTGAAAAGATTTAGAAATTAAGTTCTATTTTAAGACAATCTGAAACACATGTTAAAAGTCTAACAAAAGGAAACATGTTTATACCTCTCTTGACCCATGTATCTAAAAAGTTATATTATAAATATGATCTTTCAAGTAAAATACTCACAGTTACTTATCACTCCTCCCAGTGGATCGCCTTTAAAATCAAATTCAATATCCATATATTTGCCCTGCCAAAGAAAGACTTTGTGTTTACATTCACTTCAAAATATTTGGTCAGCTCTCTTCCTAGAGAACAGCATCCCGAGCTTGTTTCATATATTAGTTTAAATGTAATTAAGAAAGAAACAGTTTATGTAACCATGACACAAAACAATATGGCGCCATAAATAATTCATATTAAATACCCCATTAGCTCAAGGCTAACATATCCTGTTGCTTATTTAAGAATAAATCCTCCCAGTCGTCATGTCACTTTTCCCTTTTAGCTACGTGATTCAAACTTCTGAAGCATGTGTATATTCAAAAATAAAAAAGGGTGAGAGTAAGTATTCCTTGTGTTGTACTCATCAGCAAGATACAGTATTTTTAGAGGCAAAATGTTTTAAGCCATGTCTGAAACTCCAAACAATGCCCTACAGTGGATAAAATGGAACACAAAGTTCTGATTTTTATCTACTCAAATCAAATGCATGATTGTGTGGTGTGACCAGCTCAGAATCAAAGACAGATCACTCTTACTCTCTTTGGCTTCTAATGTAGATCATATAGCAATATGTAACCTGGTTTCACGTTACGGTTTATACATGGTATCTTAAAGACACAGAAACAACATTGAGTTTCATATTATGACTATAAAAGAATCAGTCTATAACTGTCTAGTTAAAGAGCAAGAAGTTTAACAGAATAAATCTCAAAGCTTCTTTTTGTTTGGAAAAGGACACATTGATCTAATAAATCGTCATCAGTTTTGCTTCAGGTTCTACCTTGGTAATAGTGAGATAGATTAAACTCTACCCAAGAATTACTCTCACTTTTTCTATTTTCAAAGTAATGGTAAGGGAGAAGAAACAATCCGGGGCACTCAGTCAACAAGGCAATCTATGACTTTATTAGCTCGGCACACTTCCTTACCTTCTCCTTCATCATTGTCATGATCATCTCTCTTTTTAAGACTTCATTTATCACTCAGAAAATGCCTATCAACTATTTCCTAGATAACACAGTGGGTGCAAGGGAAAGCAAGGCATAGCTCCTGCCCCTAGGGAACTGACAGTCTAGCGGGAAGCAGAGACAGGCTGATATGACATTGTGGTGCACAGGATCATGCTAGGTCCTGGCCCACACACAGAGTAGGACAGAGGAAGAGCCTGAATTGTCGGAAGCCAGACTGGCAAGCTGAGGGTGGGGAGTGCGGGAAGAAACAGGCCTAAGAGTTGACAGCTGTAAGGATCGTGGGTGGGAAACAGTCTGGAGAGGCAGTGGGAGCACCTTGAGTGGAAAGAATACCAAGCTCTTAATTATATACATTAGTTTATATGTATAAATCATTTTATCTGTTTTTCAGTTTAAACACATCATGGCATGGAGACTCTTCTGACAGCAAAGTCATGTCATTAAAGATTCCTAAACGAGAATGGCGTGGTCAGATTCGCTTCTTTACAACAGCACTCTGGCTAGTGTGGAATGCTCTGGAAAGGAGCAAGAATAGATGTATCTGAGAGGCAGTCACCAGGAGAAATGTTGTTGGCGGCTTTCAACAGAAGGAGCAAAAGAAAGAAGTAACCAGAGTTAGGGGTAGCCTGAGAGTCACAATGACATATCCTGGCTGCTGTACAGGGTAAAGAATAGAAGGACAGTGCATCCAATTAGACAGGGGGGGACAATGAGGAAACTCCATGGAAACACTAAAATATCATCTAAGATGTCATCGACAGTAAGCATACATAACGAGACTATCACAGGGTCTACCAGATTCTCAGTGAAATGATCAAGAAATTTATTCTGTGTTTAACCAGTAAAACACAGTCAAAGGAAATATAATTTCCCTGTAGTCATAAACCATTATTATATATAGTAGTAACTTCAAATGCAGCAGCGTCCTATTGCAAATTTACAATATAAATTTGAGTATCTTACTGATGAAGTCAGAGATACAAAGCAGAGAAATTGGGAAAAACTGGGCATGAAAAGATTTAGCCTGTAATCAAGTATTAATCTCATACCCTAATACCCATGTTATAATAGGATTTCTCTGAAGTTACTTAATAAGCCAAATCACCCACCAAACCTTTTACTAGATTTTTAAATATCACTAAGTAGTAATGACTTTTTAAGCTATATGGTTTTTTCAGTTTCATGGTCTATAGACTAAATATATTTGCAAATAGTTTTAAAGTGTGCGAATGTGCACATTACATGTGCACACAGCAAAAATAAAATCTCTCCCCCGTAAAGAGGCTTGATTTACTGTAATTACTTCTATCTGCCCACACTTTGCTTCTAATTCTATTTATGTAATGAGATTAGCCTTGTTACCACAACAGGAAAAGGCATGGCTCAAATCAGTTATAACAACTTAAGGGGCTAATCCAATGGAAAAAATTCACAGTGTGGAATTAGGAATCTAGCTTTCCACTTTGTAAGCCATTAAAACTATCTCCCCCTAAAGTTACACTCTTGTTTGCAACAGTGAATACCTCCACTGGTTAAACACAGAAAAGGGATTAATAGGAGGAAGGACAGAGAAAGCACAAGAGTCTCTGAGAGGGAAGCAGAAAAGATCATCAAAAATGCCCCCAAGAAATCTGTATGAAAAATCAATTTATAAAGTAAATGATCTTTTATTATGAAAATTTATAAAACTGGTGACACTGTAGAAAAGAGGTACCAATTTCAAAATGCACGATAGCACTCAGTATACTTCTCCCCAGCTGCCTCCCATGTTCGTGTCTTTATAAAGACCAAAGGTGTGAGAGACAGTGTCACAGTCGGACACAATGGGCTGAGGATGTGTAGACCACATGCTGAGATGAGGGTGGACCGGTTTCTTTCAGTGGAATTAGCATTTTTCCAACTCAACCAAACTCAAAATATCAATTAGCTTCAGTTTCTACTATTCAATTCTTTGCCACTAGTTGCCAAAAATACTAATTTTACCTTTATAAAGACTTGGAGTTCACCCCTATCCATTCTGGTCCCACTAAATAAAAGGAGCAGAGCTGTAGAGTATAAAAACTTAATACTCAGTTTATCCTTTTTCTACTTAATTTCTGGCTCTTAATTATGATTTCTGATACAAAAATCAGGTAAATGAGAGTTATTCTAAGCAGCTTAATTGTTCATGGAATTTTATGGAGGAACACAACCAGAAAAAACATGAAAAAAAGGCCTGTCATTCCAAGAAGAATTAGAAGAAAAATTTCAGAAAGCAAAGGATAGACCTTATACAACTTTTAGTGCCTTAACAGAGATGGTATGTTTTATTTTATAAAGAGATATTAAATACCTGTTCTTGTTTAAACATATATGAACAAAATATTAGTACTAACACTTAAACATATACAAATACTTACAAATCTAGAGGAGTTGTCATTCCTTACAGTTTTGGCATTTCCAAAAGCTAGTAAGAAAAAAACAAATGCATGGTTAAAATTGACAGAAACATAATTTCAAGTAGGATGAAAAGGAAAATGTAATATTTGACATTTATAAATCCTAGCAAATACAACTTGTAGGAATGACATTTCTGTCCAAAATTTCCATAGAAACATACATCTAACAGAAAAGTCTTAATAACTTGTTAAAGATTCCATGTCTTAACATAAATTTATAGAAAAAGAGTTGAGCTATGATTTATGGAATTTTCTTCAAGTGTTATTATAAACATAATCTTGTCTAATTCAGCACTTTTTAACAATCTAGGTTAGTAGGCAACTGAGTGAATTTTCAGCAAGGATTTTTTACTCTTTTCCAATTATCAACGAATCAAGGTTAGAGAAGATTACCTAAATTATCACAGGTTTTCTAAAACTTGATGAGGTTTCCAGATGGAAAAAACATAGGAAACTTTATTTTGCTTGATTAATTTTAACATCAAGCTACTTAAATGTGATTAAATATATAACTCTTAAATGCAGGTAAGAGCAAGAGATTTGGAAACTAACATCATTTTCAATAGGCTAAAAATGTTACATAGTTTATGTCCATAAGATCTAAGTGAAACTTTTCAGAAAATAAACAAAATCTAATTGGTTCATAATGCAAAATCCAAGTTTGTTGCAATCTTAGCTGCTTCCAAGAGTCAGAATTTCCTATAGGACAAAAAAGAACCTTGGGGTTAATGCTTCCTTAGGTACAGGGTGTTCCTGTTTACCTGTAGTTATACCATCAAAAGTAAAAGGACTGTTTCACCAAGTTTGTGCACAAGGCAGGGGCAAACTAATCTGGGCTAAGTGAGTACAGGATAAAGTTGAACAAACCTAAGTAGTATTAGCAGAAGGAATCCCTGCGGAGCCCAGCAGTGCACCTCAAACTTTCATTACAAACCAGCCACCTGATTTTGGTGAATGCAGACTTAGGTGCAAAGGGTCTGGGGCACAGGCAAGAAATTCTGCACTTCTACCCATTCTTCCACCTTCCACCAAGGCTGTCACAAGGATCCATGAGTCACACTGTAGCAAGCAGGGACTAAAGTGTACATGAGGATGTGGCAAACAGCAATAAATCTCTCAACTAAGAACCAGGCATCAAATCCCTAGAAGCCACCATGACTTCATCAAATTTAATGGCGAGAACATGATTAAAGTATCAAGAGCTAAATGATGACTAAGGACTAAAAGGTAGCTCAAGGTTTGAAAGTCATCTCCCCATTGAGCCATGGACCTGTGTGTTTTAAGTTGATTTGGATGTCAGACCTGATGTGTTCAATTTCACGTTAGCAGGCTATTAAAAATGATTTGTTCAAAAATATTAGTGGGCTTTTGTCAGTTGAGACATAATTTACACAGTCAACACAGGGAAAGTTGTCGTATCAGAGATTCTAGTTAAAAAGTTTCCTTCAAGAGAAAATATCTGAGATGTTGTATTTGAACGTGCCGGTTTTCTCACTCAAACACTCAAAAAAGGATGCTTGTTGAAGAGGTTCACATCTTAAGCCCATGTCCATCACCAGGTAAAAGACTAATAAATGCAACCTGGATCATGGTAAATGTTGACCTAGTTATCACAAAGTCCATGACATTTTCCATGTTTTTGTAGGCTAGTCCTTTGTGGGGAGGGGGGGTGTGGACTTATACAGGTGGCCAAGCTAACTCACCTGCACAGCCCCAAAGTTTAGCTGGAGAGGTTGATACATAAAAGGCAGATTATTGTGGCTTGAAGGTCAAGGGTGAGTGAAGGAATTGCTTTAAAAAAAAAACAAACTTAATTTGGGACTCCATTTGCAAGCCATAAACCATCTTTTCATCAAACAAATCCTTAGCTGCACATTACTAAACACAGCTCTAAACACTGAAGTCTTTACTGAGCACCACAGAATCAAAAACAAGTGTTCCATTACAGAATACTTGAGACACACTGGCCAATTGTTTTTCTAAATTCACTGTCCTAAATGTTCATTTACAGTAGCAGGTCCAGTTAAAAAGTAAAGCATTCCCGGGCCTCCCCAGTGGCGCAGCGGTTGAGCACTGGGATGGGAAGCTGCCCGCGGGCTCTGCAGCATCAGTTCCATCCCCGGCTGCTCCCCGGCCACCAGTGGAGGGTCCCGCATGGAGCACAGACCTCTCCTGCCGCCCGCTGCTCCCCTCAGCCGTGTGCTTCGGTCCTTCTGCCTGCTCTGCTCCCTGCTCTGGTTCTGGTGAATTCTCTCACCCTCCCGCGCTCCTGACTGTGCCCAGTGCTTGTATAAATAAATAAATCTTTAAAAAAAAAAAAAAAAGTAAAGCATTCCCGTAAAAGATAATATATGCCCACAGTAGACATTTCTTCCATTTCCTCCACTGGGGCCTCGTTTCAAATACCATTGAATAAAGGGCCAGATTCTAATTAATCACTGATACAAACTATAGCATTCCATAATGCTTCTTCTTTAGATAACAGCTTTCTTAAAAGCATGTACAGAAATGCAACACATGGGCAGTACCCTAAAAGCAAAACATAGCACTTTCTATAATAGTTTGTTAGATACTACAGGAGAAGAAAGATCTATTTAGCTTTTGCTTCTCACAAGTTCAAGTATTTTCATGAATCTTATTTCAGTAAGTGGAAGATAAAGATGAATGGTGTCTCCTTTGTAATAAAATGGAAGGAAGGGCCAGGCCTGAGTAACAAAGACAATGGGCATGGTTCTGTCCCTCCATACTGGGGGAAGTCCCACTCACCACAAAGCAGCTGTTTTTTTTTTTTTTTACTTTTATTTATTTATTTATACAAGCACTGGGTACAGTCAGAAGCGCAGGAGGGTGAGAGAATTCACCAGAGCCAGAGGGGAGAGCAGAGCAGGCAGACTGACGAAGTACACTGCTGAGGGGAGCAGGGGGCGGCAGGAGAGGTCTACGCGCCATGTGGGACCCTCACCCGGTGCCTGGGGATCGAACTGGCGCTGCAGCTTCGTCGTAACCCAGCGCTCAACTGCTGCACCACCAGGGAGGCCCCAAAGCAGCTCTGTTTTTAATCCCTGTTAAATCTTGACCTTCCATGACACTGAAAAGGGATTGAACGAAACTACTCTTCTAGACCAAGATTCTAACTAGGAGTGTTCTTTATCCCCTCAGGTAACATTTGGGAATGTCTGGAGACATTTTCAACAGAAACCAGTAGGCACAGGAGAGCCAGTAACACCTAATAGGCAAACATCCAACAGTGCAAAAGACAGACCTCACCTCTGAGCTTCATCTGGTCCAGGATGTCAGTTGTGCTGGGGTTGAGAATCCCTACTCTACCTCAATGATGCTGCTAAATGACAATAAAGATAGACTTAAAATATATAGCTTATCATCCATCAGGAAAGACTTTGATTTACTGGTTCTAATGTAAAGGATGGTTTAAACCAATGGTTTATGTGAACTGCCATGGCATTTAGGGGACTCAACTCCAGATTTGTTTTCTGGAGGTATTATAGGCTGAATGTTTAAGTGTTTATGTATATTCCTCCACCACTACCTCCTCCCAACATGCATTTGTTGAAGTCCTAATGCCCCATGTGATGGTATTTGGAGATGAAACCTTTGGGATATAATTAAAATTAGATGAGGTCACACGGCAGCCAGCACCCCCACTATCCCATCCCCACTCCCACACAAGAAGAAGAGGTCTAGAGAGCACATGGTGAGATGGTGACTGCTTGTGAGCCAACAGGTCTCAGAAGAAATCTACTTGGCACCACCTTGATCTGAGCCTCCAGAAGTATGAGGGAGAATTTTTCTGTTGTACAAGCCACCAGTCTATGGCATTTTGTTATAGTGGCCCAAGCTGACTGGTACAGGTAGCCCACTATGTAATTTGAGTTCAATATTTAAGTTTAGTCTTTCTGTGGCCTTGAAAAAACCTGGCCTTTAAATGTGTCTTTGAGACAGCCTCGGTGTCCTAACAAAAGAAATAACCAGCCACAGGTGATATCCTGAACAATAAAACAGCACTGCGCTCACACTGCTCTTTTCCACCTAGTTTTTCCCAGTCATCAAGCCAAATGCCAGTATCAGTGGATGCTTTATTTGCTGGGTAGGTCTGGACCTGAATCTCTTCCTCTTGCCCCCTTTTCTCTATCCCCCCCCACTTCCCAGCACAGCAGGTACCTGAAGTGCCCTGAAAACTTCTAGTCACACTGACCCAACATACTGAAAATCCTACCTTCCAGGACAGGGTTGGACTGTAGAAGCTGTTCCTTGACTTGGTTAACTTCTGCTCCTTTTCCACAAACAGCTGCTACGTAGGACATGACAAGCTTGCTGGCCTCTGTGAATGAAAACAAGCAACATTAATAAATTAAGTCAGCATTTTAAAAAAATGTGGGAGGGGATATGGAGATCTGGAATAGAAGACCCCACTAATGGTGTTTTCAAATGCCTGTATTCTTGAGAATAATTAACCTGCCAGGGAACCTTCTTAAATAAGTGTACTTTCTAGTCAATGACATGCTCTTAATTCAGCTATAACAGGAACTGTACTTAAAGGTTATCACAGGGCTGCTGAAACATTTGCTGAGTAACACAGTCAACAGGCCTCAGAACTATCTTCTTAAAGCAATCATTTATGTACAATTATTGTATAATGCACAGATGATTCAAGTCAGAAATACCTTGGTAACCTGGGTATCTTGATCAAAGGATTTTTAAAAAGATAAATGAATTGCTCTTCCACAAAAATATTTCTAAATCAAACTGGTTTGCTCACAATTAGAATAAATTATTCGACTTGACTGAAAAATGAAGCAGCTAATAGAAGGATTTGATAAGAAGAAATATAGTCTTTTCCGTTGTTTCCGTGGCTTCCCTAGTAACACTGAAAGGCAGGCTGAGCGAAGCACACCCTTTCGCCCCCCCACCGAAGATGACAAAGAATTCTTAGCTCAAACAGTACAGTGGATGAAATTTGCTTTTGATGATTTTATCCTTCCCCAATCAGCCTGTGTTCCCTATTAGCAGCTACCTTCTCAAACTTGATCCTCTTAACTAAGTTCCAAGGGAAAATAGAGTCCAGGATCAAATGAATTTGGGGCCACAGTGAGTTAGATGAAGTGAAATAGGTTTCCTTATTAAAGAGCTTCTTGGAGAATCACGTGCATTGTAGAACTCTGGAAAAGGATTAGAATGCTCCTCTACTTACTTGCTTTGGAATCTCTCTCTTGTTCAACTGTCCTAACTCTAATGTTCCATAATGAGGAGCTGGGAAATGCTCAACTATTAAATGTTGGTAGAATAAAAAGAGAGGCCTGGGCAATGGAAATAAGTAATCTCCCCAAATCTTGCTTTCTCTGGAGTCTCTGCTCTAGCACTTCTATCAAAGGCAGGAGAACCTTCCTCAGGTGAGTCCCAGGACCTCTGCCTACAGGTGTAAGCAGCAAATCTCAACACTACCATTTCTCTAGGGGAGACTTGCAGGTGGCTTCTAGCCCCATGTCTCACCACCGAAGAAACAGTAATGAACAGCAGGCGGGTCACCTTCATTCTGCCCATGCCCGAGACCTGCTATAGGGCCTTTGACCAATGCAAAGGCGTGGACTCCCTGGAGTCATGGAACACCAAGAATCCATGCAGGGCACATGCAGTTCTCAAGGCCTAACATGACTGCCTCTGGAGAACTAGCAAACACTGCACAGAAGAGGCAAAGCATCTCATGGGGCCCTGAGCACTGTGGTGGGAGTTTGTATACCTCTTCAGTAGTTAGTTAGGTCTCCCTCCAATTTGCTTTCTGGGTAATGAAAATGCATTGTCTGATGATCGGTGATAGTCGATTTCTGCTGTCTCCTTTTAAAGACTCTAACTGAGAGATGGTCTTTACTCTTTGCAATACCTTTCTCCAAAGGACACTGTCCTGTAACACATTCTGTATTGTGTAAAGTTCCTGAACTACATTTTCCATTATTCTTAGGGCTTAATTATCTAAAATCTAATCAACTATAGCAGTAGGTACTACTGCTCAGCCCAGACTGACCGGGCTCCATTTTTTCTATGTTACATTTCATTTGACTTCTTAGGGCTACGTTTCCCTCAAGCTGCCAGTCCAAATGGAAACTCTTCTGCTCACTTCAGGACACTCTAGAATTTCTAAGCTGATTTCTGGCTTTCAATTTCAAGTGAGGCTTTCCTCCAAGCAATTTCCTGCCATCCTGTGCTAACTGGTCCCCAACCCTGGGCCAATTCTCATGAATCTCCCACACATCCAAATTTCAACTTTGACCCTCAAGCAACACTTCCAGGCTATTTTCTCACCATCTGTTTTCTTAGTGGCATTCAGCATTCTTTGTTCCTCATTCCCCACCCCAAGGCTGTCTTGCTTATTCCAGATTTTAAGGACCTCACTGTAACCAAACCACAAACTTCAGATAAGGTCATACCAAGCTCTCTGGAAATCCTGTTCTGGTGCAGGATGCACTTGGGGGACAAGCTACCTTAGGGGACAGAGCGGAATTAATCATGAATGAGAACTCTTTAGTGGTCATTAAAATATATTTGGACTCTCAGAGGTCTTTCAAGGGCCAGAACAAAATGGAATCAAATTCTCTGTGGGTCAAAACTCTTAAAAACAACAACAAAAAGTACCATTGGGGTGGTATATAATATGAAAATTATATAGTAATCCTTATATTTACTAAGATATAAAGATGGATGAACTTAAATAGAAGTTATTAACTTTATTAACTCTAAATTCTATTTTAGTTATATAGATACAATTTTTTTTTAAAGATTTATTTATTTATACAAGCACTGGGTGCAGTCAGAAGTGCAGGAGGGTGAGAGAATTCACCAGAGCCAAAGCGGGGAGCAGAGCAGGCAGACTGACGAAGTACACTGCTGAGGGGAGCAGCGGGCAGCAGGAGAGGTCTGCGCGCCATGTGGGACCCTCCTCCAGTGGCCGGGGAGCAGCCAGGGATGGAACTGGTGCTGCAAAGGCTGCGGGCAGCTTTGCAACCCAGCGCTCAACCACTGCGCCACCGGGGAGGCCCTATAGATATAATTTTTAATACAGTTCAAGTATATTTATTTCTAAACCATCAAAAAGTTTATATGTACATATTCTTAACTACTTAGGGGTCTTATTACTGGTTCAATTTAGCAATTCACTTTTGGAAGCTGGGATTAAGAATAATTTCTCCTAAGTCTCATTGTCTAAGGGAGAAAATGCACAATTTTTTCCTGAAATAATACTTCATCTTTATCTCAAGAAGCTCATTAGATAGTCACTACTTTAAAGAAATAAGTAAACCAGTAAGTGTTAGGTTGCAAGGTCTAACAGAGTTAAAAGGATTGTTTTCACAATATTTCACCGTGCTGCAAACAAGAAATAACAGGTATCTCATGAGCCTCACTGCTTTATTTCCTTTTGTTTCTTTGGTGCTAGGTTCATATAAATTTGGATCTGTATTCAAATATTTATATAGTGATACAAATCGAAAATTTATGCAATAGAAAATCAAGAATTAAATTATCGTGTCCCATATTTCAAAGTCTAATTTTTTAATTATGCTGATTGTTGTAGGAATCAGCTGAACATGACCTTGGCAATCACAGAGTAAAACTGTAAACATTTTCTAAAGCAATTTGTTTAAGCAGACTATGAATACACTAATCCAGTAATCATAAACTCAATCACATCTGACACATATTGTGGAAAACTCTAAGTAAATCTATTTGAGACAAAAAGGTATATTTTTCATATGTATGCAAAATTCCAAAAAGCACTGTCATTTTTAGACAGAAGAAAATTTGCATCAGGTGCATTCATAACTGACAAAAAAAATAGCAGAGTTTAAGTTCAGTGCTTACTTCATCATTTAATTCATAGGTACATTATAATATGTAAATTTATCTACTTATATGTTTGAATATAACTTGAATCTTAAAAGTTCATTAACTGTCAGACAAACAAAACATGGAGTCTTCAAATAAAAATTTCTTCTCACTAGAAAAAGGTAGAACATTAGAGTTGAACTGCACTAATGGACAATTGGCCAGTAACAAAATATTTTTAAACTTTTTTTTTAATAGAGGCATGTTTTATTTATTTATTTGTTTGTTTTTGTTTTATACATGTACTGGGTACAGTCAGAAGCGCGGGAGGGTGAGAGAATTCACCAGAGCCAGAGAGGGGAGCAGAGCAGGCAGAAGGACCGAAGTACACTGCTGAGGGGAGCAGCGGGCAGCAGGAGAGGTCTGCGCGCCATGTGGGACCCTCCTCCGGTGGCCGGGGAGCAGCCGGGGATCAAACCGGCGCCGCAGAGGCCGCGGGCAGCTTCGCAACCCAGCGCTCAACCGCTGCGCCACCGGGGAGGCCCAACAAAATACTTTTAGATCCGAGTATCAGCATCAAGAATTCATTTCTACAAAGAATGAAATGAGCTCACAAATTATTAGCTCATGATTCTGGGGATTCGGGAATTTAACTAATTGGGGAATAACTATTTTAACTTTTCATTCTCTGGCTCCTTGCACAGGGTTGTGAACAACATATTAGATACTATTATGTAATTATTACATGATCATATAATTATATAAATTTTTTATGAAAGAAAGCATTGTGAAATCGATTAATGGAAAAAGAAAACAAACATCTGTGACTATGAGTACAAAAGAAAGGGGTTCTCACTTCTAAGAGATCAGAATTTATGCATGTTAACTAAGGAGGCTCTACATGGATTTAATTGATGTGTCAGGGGGGTGAAAAAAAGGTACAAATATAACCAAGGCTTATTCTGGCTTTTTTTCCCCCACAGAATTTCTAATAAATGAATCCAGAAGTTAACAGGTATTTATGCATGCTTTCACATATCCATACACTATCAAGTGTGTCATGTCACCATAAGCTCTATGTCATATAGAAGACAGAACAACATGTGTGCATATTTGCTTGTACACATGCGCACACACACGCACACACACAGATATTTATCTACTTCTATTGCTCTCAATCTCCTTGTTTAGGACACCCATGTTATTCCTGGAACTCAACTACATAGGTGTGGTGGTTCAGCGACCTGAAGAGTAAGACTGCCTAAATCAAGGCGATGTCTGTGTGCAATGAAACAGGGACTCAGCAGCACAGAGGAACAGCCTTCTTGTCAGTGCTGAGCCATGAGTCTACATGCTGCACAATCACCAGCTGCAGCACATCCAAATTCATCTGACAGGCATTCCTGAACTGTTCCAATCTTGGTACAAAGAGAAACACAGTCTCTGCTCCAAGAAGAATGAGTACCCATCACGTTGAATTGATGTACAAAGACATATAAGCTGCAT